TTTTGGACTGATACTGTGTATATTTGCTCCAAAGTGTTACATTATTTTGTTTCAACCAGAGAAAAACACCAAAAAATATTTGATGACTAAAAAATAATTTTTTCAGGTGTTTTCAAACAATGACAATGATTTCAGTTTGAGTAAAATTTTACTCAAGCTGAAACATATATGTATGTTGTCAGAAATGTTATCTTTTCTAAATTTTGACAAATGTCTTCTGCTTCTGTCTAATTCTGACAGTGTCCATTTAAAATGTTGTTGACTTCTTTGACAAGTATTTGTTTACATCACAAACAAATAAAACTGTTGTCATTTTTGCGGAAATCAGATTTTTACGTTTTTCTTAAAACTGTCTTCTTGTTGTGACAGTATCACATGAAACAATCTGTGGAAAGAAATGAGTTCATCTCTCTGCTGTCTGTCCTACTGCTATTTGCAGAGATACACCGCTTGGACTGAAATACCAACTTGAGCCAGGAGCAGAGTCATAGCACTATGATAAAACTGTGCTAATACACAATAGTAGGGTTTTTGGGGGGTTAAACTCACTACTAGTTTTTTGTTGTTATAGCAGTGACGACACCATAACAGCAAAGGAGCTGGTGGACAGAGTCACACAAACTACATTTCCGTTACCAAATGTCCGCAAAACCTCATCTATATTCTGCTAATGTCAATAAAACAATTTCGCAATTGCTGTGTTTCCAGTAATTAAGAAACGCAATTGAAATCACACACGAATAAGTTAGTTCACATGATTGGTCAAAACATCCACGCGCCTTGATCGACCAGCTGCTTCCTGTTGTCTTCGTTTGCGTCGTTTGGGCCATCAAAAACCGAAAGTGTTTTTTCAATGTTGGCGTGACTCCATGTTCCAAATTTATTTTTGTATTGTCAAATTGCACAATTATGTCGTGGTATAAAGCAAATCAAGTTTATCTGAATAAGAAAATACAAAAAATATAGGTATATTACACTCCAAACTACTAAGAAATATCACCAAAAAACATGAGCAATGTTTATATGTGGTATAAATGAATAAAAGAAACAATCGAATACTTAATACGAAATTGTAAAAGGAGTCAGAGAAGCAAACAGATGAGGCTGTCCCCTCATCAGGTTAATGATCACCTGATGTATGATGGAGAAGGCTTAAAAAGCTATAAAACACACATGTTTACTCCTACAGACTCTTGAGGAATGGAGATCTGGGCTGCTTTCAATGCCCTGGGATTGGCTGTTTGTTTGCTGGTGCTGATGTCAGTGTGTGGTCTGGGTGGGTCTGTGGATAGTCTGAGACAGAGGACAGAGTCCACAGATCCTCTCACTCAGGCTGGTGCACCGGTGCAGTGTACGCTGCAGGGCACGCCTCGTGTGTCAGCTTTCTCGAAGGATGGTGACTTTGTTATTGGAGGCATTTTCTCAATTCATTACCAACTTTATACAGTGATTTATAATTACACCACCAAGCCTGAGCCTCCCAGATGCACAGGGAGGTTAGTATGGAGAAGTGAACAACAAAAATGTGAAGTTTTGCTGTATTTTATTTTTTTTGCTATTTCATGTTGTATATTAGAAAATGATTTATTTATTTTTTGTTATGATGAATGCTCTTCTAGCAATGAACATAACATTTGTTACCTCAGATAACAAAGAGGCCTCAATTAGGATAATGGGAAGAAAAAACCCCCACTGACATACATTTAGGGTTTATGCACAATAAAACAAGTATGTAACATTAAAAAATGTGAAATTGTGATCTTTTAACATTTTTTCTCAGTATGATAAGTTTCATTTATGTTTTGAATTCGCAGATGAATTATGTCATCACTTGTTTTCTGTTAAGCCACATCGATTTCTTGACTCTTTAATGCAAAGTGTTTTTCTGAACATCAACCCTCTGGTTTTGTGCAGCTTGAACTCTCGTGTCCTGCGCTTCTTGCGCACAATGATCTTTGCAATTGAGCAAATAAACAACAGTTCCCAGCTGCTCCCCGGCGTCAGTCTCGGATATCAGATCTATGACTCGTGCATAGCGGTGCCGGTGGCCGCGCACGTTGCGTTTCAGCTGTCAAACGGCCAGGACCCCGTATTTCTCCAAGGCGGGAACTGTTCACAGTCTGGCGTGGTGGCTGCTGTGGGAGACTCTGGATCCACTCCATCCATCAGCATTTCCCGCATCTTCCGTTCCTTCAGCATTCCATTGGTAAGAAGTGTGAATTTATGGCAAACTAAATTCTAAAGTGTATTTCTACTTCTATTAAATCGGGGGGGAAAAAATTACAAATGGTTTGTTTAATTACTTCTTTAGGTGAGTCCATTTGCCACCTGTGCCTGTTTGTCAGATAAGCAGCAGCATCCGACGTTTTTCAGAACCATTCCCAGTGACCAGTTCCAAGCTGACGCGCTGGCCAAACTGGTGAAACACTTCGGCTGGACTTGGATTGGCGCGGTGCGCTCCGACTCGGATTATGGAAATTATGGCATGGCGTCCTTTCTCGACGCGGCGCTCAGAGAGGGGATCTGCGTGGAGTACTCTGAAGCCTTCTACCGGACCGACCCGCCGAGCAAGATCCAAAGACTTGCTGATGTGATCCGAAGGTTTATGAACGATTAAAACGTTACTTTTTGCAGACAGAGTATATGATTATTTGACAGATTACTTTATGTGTTCGTCCTTGTCCATTTTCTCAGTTACATCGAAGCACAGATGCCTGGAGTCTGTTTTCATGTAAAAACAATAAGTCACAAAACTTTTGTATTTAAAACATTAATTCATTTAATTTGTGTTTTTTTGTGAACACAGATCAACAGCCGTTGTTGTTGTGGCCTTTGCGGCCTCTGGTGACATGAAGGTCCTGTTAGAGGAGCTGGCCCGGGACCCTCCTCCGGCTCGTCAGTGGATCGGAAGTGAGGGCTGGGTGACGGATCCTCACTTGATGAGCTTCGGTTTTTGCGCGGGCGCCATCGGAGTTGCCATTCAGCAAGCTATGATCCCAGGGCTGAGAAACTTCCTCCTGGATCTCTCTCCCTCAGACGTGGCTGCTTCCTCAGTGCTGACCGAGTTTTGGGAGGAGGCGTTCAACTGCAGTCTGACAGAAAGTGAGGAAAATAAGACTCTGCGTTTAAAACTGTCATCTGTTCTATAAACGCATTTTATAACAGATTACATCTCAACCTGATGCATTTCTTGAAATACTCATGAATGAAATTTTGGTTGGTCAATGAATCCAAAGGTTTTTCCTTTTTTTTTCTTTTTTTTCTTCAACTTAATTTGTTTCAACTGCTGTTTTACATAGTGGCTCATCTGTATTTCATTTATTCTTTAATACAGTAATTTATGCTTAAATATTTTTTTAAGACATACTACTACTACTGCTACTACTATTGCTAATAATATTACTACTAATAATAATAAATGTCTCCTCTTATACAAGCGTGTTTTAATGAAAACTAACCTTTTACTTCCTTAACATATTTTTCGTATAGCGTTTAAATAATTTTGGTTAGGATCAGTGATGGTTTCTGTGATTGAGTGTGTGCTTAGGTTTAAATGTAGAATGTCATAAAAATGTGCCTCTGTATTCTTTTTTATTCTTCTTCAAATGTATGCGACTGAAAAGTCCTGTGCTGCGTCACTTCTGGTCATTTTTAATTCCCTCTCAACATGACGTGAAGCAGGAGTGTTTCCGCTGTTCTAGAGACTCGAGAATGAAGTCACACACTCACAAACTGCAAAACTAGGTGGCTGGCATTTGCATTCCTTCGAGCTGCGTCTAAACATATTGAACCCAAGTCCTAATGCTTAAAATTCAAGGTGAGTGTGGAAATGTTTGCATTTATTTGTTTCCAGACGCTGACTTGAGCAAAAGAGTGTGCGATGGAACCGAAGACATTCAAAGGCTTGAGAACCCGTACACTGAGACGTCTCAGTTGAGAGCGAGTAACATGGTGTACAAGGCTGTTTATGCGATAGCTCATGCTATTCACAGTGCGGTGTGTGAGGAAAGGAACGCCATCATTCAGTGTGACAAACATGTCAGCTTAGAGCCAAAACAGGTCAGTTTGAGTGAAGAAGGTGATCTGAAAGGTTTTTTTTTGTAAGTGAGGCTGTTGATTCCTTTCTCTATGTGTTTCTTTCTCACTTCACAGGTCTTCACTGAGTTAAAGAAAGTGAACTTTTCCAAAAATGGCTATCATGTTTCTTTTGATGATAAAGGTGATCCTGTAGCTTTTTACGAGTTGGTTAACTGGCAAAGGAATGAAAATGGAGTTATTGAGCTGGTAACAGTGGGCTTTTATGACGCATCACTGCCGAGGGGAGAGCAGTTCCGTATCAACGGGAACTTAATCTGGCTGGACGGTGGAACACAAGTGAAGAGGCTAATGTTCAGAACTGCAATTGTTTGCTGTGCTGGTGAAGATGGTATTTTGACATTTTCTCTTTTACAGGTTCCAGCGTCCATTTGCTCAGAGAGTTGTCCTCCAGGAACTCGTAAAGTGTTGCAGAAAGGAAAACCAACCTGCTGCTA